GGCTCCAGCACCCCGCACGGCCCGGCTCCAGCACCCCGCACGGCCCGGCTCCAGCACCCCGCCACGGCCCGGCTCCAGCACCCCACCACGGCTCGGCTCCAGCACCCCGCCACGGCCCGGCTCCAGCACCCCGCTACGCCCGGCTCCACCATCCGAGCTCGGACGCTCGGACAGCTCCCGGCACTGCTGCCCTGAGGGTCCCGAACGCGGTGTGCACTGCCCGGCGCGCTGCTGCTCCACCCCGCCACAAAACCCCGCTTCGGCCAGCAAGGACCGCAGGCGAGTCCCGGCTCGGCCACCCTCGGCCCCGAGGTAGCGGCTGCTACATTGCTGCTGCAAGAACGAGTCCCTCCCTGACCTGCAGGAAGCGGCCCTGGCAATAGGCCTGCGCCTGCGGGACGTGGAACACCTCGTCCATGTAGGGCCCGCGCTGCCGGCGGCTGACGGCTGCGAAGAGCAGGCATGACAGCAGGAAGGCGCCGCTCATGGCTCCGGAGAAGCCGTAGGCCTCTGCCCGCTCCATGCCGGCTCCGCGCCGGCYCGGACGGGGCCGCCCTTCCGGGGAGGGGCGAGCGATGAGGGGCGGCCACCGGCCGGGCGGGAAGGGGAGCGGGGCCCGGACACGGCGGGGTTCCTCACTTCGGGGTTCTTCACATTGCGGGGTTCCTCACACTGCGGGGTCCCGGACACGGCGGGGTCCCGGACACGGCGGGATCCCTCACATTGCGGGGTCCCTGGAGGAAGCGCTGAGCCCCCGTTGGAAGCGCTGAGCCCCCGGTCCGAGTGGCCGCGTGTTGTGAGCGCTGTGCTGACCCCGGGACGAGCGGCGCCTCCGAGCCGCCSGTACCCTGCGGCCGCCGGGCGCTGCCGGGATGGAGCGGACACACCGGCTGGAGCTGTTCCCTGACCGCAGCGTCACGCTGCTCCTCTTCCAGCACGTGAAAAATGCCGCTGCTCTGCGGAAAAAAGCCATGGAAGGATCCATTGACGGAGCGCTGATAAACCCTGCGATGGTGAGTGAACGCGTGTGCCGCCCTGTCYGTGTGGGAATCCTCGTGGGAGCTCAGTGAAGGATGACCCGTGCTCGCCATCGCTGTCACACGAATTGCTTTGCATGCTCTGCACAAATGCCTCCCTTTTGGTTTCATTACTGTGTCATACAGCGGCAGGGTTGTCTGTGTAAAACAGCTTTGGCAGGATTGGCCAAAACAACTGTTGTCTTGATTCAYTTTACATCCTACTTGGTGGAGCTATTTAAATCTGCTTCATGTGTTATCTCTAGTGCTAATTGATTTATGTTGTCAAAAATCTACTCTTTGGTGCCTCTGTTCTCATTTAAACCCATAAATAGTTTCAGAATGTAGTCCTTTTTTTTGTTAGAATTACGCTATCAAAATGAAGTGGTCAGGACTTTTTTCAGATTTCAAATTGTTTATTTTGTGTTTTACAGATTGTAGATACTTTTCAGATTCTTGTGGCAGCCAACAAAGCAGTGCATCTGCAGAAGATAGGTAAAATGAAGACCAGAACTCTCTACGCAGAAATTATTTTCAGCCTTTCACCAAGCAATAATGTAAGATTTGCTGAACAAATTTCTTTTTCGTTAGAAAAGCTTGTTAAGAGCCACACAGCCAAACTAAGTACATGTATTCATTTAACAGTCTGCCTGGCTACTAGTAGAAGTTACTGCTATTTTTAATATTTATATGCTGGTTTTGTTTGTAGCTTGTCAGAATTCCATTCATGTAAAATGTTTGTCAATTTATACTCTTGGTGTATCCAACACAGTAACTGAAAAGGTTGCTTATATTTAGTGAGAAAGTGACTCATAATATTTTAATTTTTTTTGCTCTCTTCTCAGATTTCAGATGCATTTAAAAAGTTTGGCATTTCAGACAGCGACACAGCAGTACTCATTGTGCTGGTTGTGGATGGRGACAAGACTGTAAATCTGGCAGATATAGCATCTCAGGTGGAAGGCCAGCAGGTTTCTCTAGATGAACTCCCCCAGCTAACAGACACTGCCAAAGTTAAAAAGGTGTGTAGCCAAAAGAACAGATTGGCAAATAGAAAAAAGATAGTATGTTTTGTTGTCTGATTAAATATAAACAGACATAATTAACTTAGGATCTTTAGCACAACTTGAAACWTGTTTTAAGTGGACTTGATTATTTATTTTTAAAATTTTTTAGTTGAAACAAGTTTTAATTGTTGCACCCTAATGTCACAAAGTTTAAGTCTTCAAATTATTAATGTTGTCTGGAAATTTTAACATTAAAATAAATGCCAGATTGCTGCCTACATCCCAGTACTTTTGCTTCCTTTTTTCTCAGGCAAATATTCATTTAATTAAAAATTTCAGTCCTAAGCAGTTTCATAATCTTAAGCACATAAATAGTCCCAGTATGGGTGGTTAAAATAAAAACATGTTAATTAATTAGCTGTTAAGAGCTGTCTTAGGGTACATATGCTCTTAACAGATTATAGATAACTATGCTAAATATGTATCTTAAAGCATATGTGTTCTACGTGATAAAATTCAAGAAATTTAAATAATCTTTATCATGTCTGTCGAAGTATTGATAGGATACATGACTAAAACTGGACAAATCATAGCATTTAACATGTGGAGCTAAAAATGCTACTCTTGTTCAGTTTCTTAGCTTTCCTTATTTTTGCAGTTTCAGAATTTGCTTGGTTCCTCAACCCCAATTTTGTCTTGCAGTTACAACAAGATAGGAATTTCCAATGTAAAAATGGGGTAGAGGGGAATAATCTTTTCTTGTGTACATGTTTTTACTAGGTATATCTTCAGTTTTTTCTTCCTTATACATCTTTCCTGTTTTTCTTGTTCTTTTTTTCTGCAGATGTACAAAGTTACTCCACAGGAAGAAAAAATCGGCACCTTATTGGATAGTGTTGTCTGCAGAATGTCAACAAAAGATGTTTTATGAAAAKGTGGAAATAAATTTCAGAGGAAGTGAAGTAGTGTTGAGTTGTTTGATGGCATCTGAGCTTTAATCATGCTTGGACACAAGGGTAATCTAAGCTGTGTTCTAAGCACAGAGAGCAACTCTGCCATGCCATTCAGAATTTGCCCCTGACATTTCTTTTTCTTGACAAGGGAAAATTGCCAGTACTTTAAGCTGAACTTAAACAAAAAGCTTGGAAATCTGTACTTTTCTCTTTCATCAAATGTTTTGGTAGTCCCAGACAGGATTCAAACATTGTAAATCATTTTTATAAACCATCCCCCAATTTGTTTTGGTTTGGCACACTGATGGATGATATCCTTTTAACAATTGTACTGCCAGAAAAGCATCTTTACAGCCCAAGCATTGCTGATGGACTAGAAATAGGAAATTTTCCATAAACAATCAGCAGGATCTCCCTGGAGATGGGCATCAGAGGTGTGTAGAAAGAAGAATAAGGTCAGTGTGGATAATGCTGTGGTGTTGGCACCTGGCGGTCTGGTGTTATCCATTGCTGGCATCACAGGATAATGAATGGTGCTTTCACTTTGTAACACTGGTTTGTGCATGGTGATGCTGAATTCACAGAGCCCGGTTCCAGGTGCAGAATTTACAGAAAAATTTGCACCACAGATTGTATCCACTTAAACTGTCAATAGAGCTTAGATAGTATTTGGAAAGGATCATAAAACTTGTCTTGGTTTTTTTAATCAGTGCTAGGAAAGGCCATCAAAGGGAGCTAAGAGGACTATTGAGTTCCAGTAGTCACCAGGTTCAACRGCCCTGCATGTGTATCATTTAATTTCAAGCAGGCACCCTTGTTAAGTGAACTACTGTCCTAATTAAGTAGAAATCCATACTGTTTGTTTTTTTTATGCTGTATTGTTTTTCTGGGATGTGCATTAAACTGTATAGCTGTCTGCATTTTTTTTTTCTGATGTTCTCTGAGGTTTTATGATTTGTGTACTTAAAAGATTTGAAAGAGTATGCCTCACATTCTTACACATAGTGTTTGGGAAAACAAAATATATTTTGAAGGAGAGGTAAGTATCAGGTAGAGTTGAAATGTTGTCCACTAAAATAAACAGACCGGTGAACTGACATACCTAGTATTGTCTGTGTTTCTGTATGTAATACAGAAATGTAGTTTCTGGTTTGCATTTTGATTTCAGTTAAGTCTTCCCTCATTTAAAGCACAGTAGTACAAATACCATCATTTTCTTACCAATCAGACCAATGGCAAATTTAGTTACGAAGTATTGAAGGAATTACAGGATGTATCAAAGGATTTGGGTCAAATGGCTGTGCTGACTTCTTGCTTTAAAATGGTTTTACAGAATGCATCATCATCTTTAATGGGAAATGTGAGGCAATAGTTAAAAAATGGAGCTCGGACGGACTTGAGTCTTTAACAGAAGCCTGTAACATCGTGTGAGAATGACCACGGAAAATGAGAGACTTGTTTTGCTTTTCTGACAGTCTAGTTGGTACATGGAATATATCATAAGATTTACTGGCTGAGCTACAATGTRGTTCTAAATAACAGCAGACAGGTTTGCCTAAACCACGGCCTTTTTTGAACATGTGTAAAACATCTGTCCRGTCTGTTTAACACAGGAGAAATAGTAATGAAATTATTGCTGCATAACAGTTTTGACAAACAAGTTCCAAACTTGGGTTCCCAGTTTCTACTTCTTGTCCATCTATTTCATTGGTGTAGAAATATAAAATAGCTTCTTACTATTGACATAAACTGTGAAATTGTGATTTACTGTGAGACCCAAATGAGGTGTTTTCATGGGGAAATTTACAGGAATTTATTTTGGGAGCTGAAGCCTCCAAAGTCTCATACAGTCAGGCAGATGATTTGGTTCTGTTGGCATTGAARACTATGTCCCACAAGACCACAGATTGCCCCTAGATGTGGTTGCATTATCCAAGTTAAATGAGTTATTTTCAAAAGCTGGTAATAAAAATAGATTTTGTTCACCCTGCAAAGATAMACTTGTCTTTCTGAACACATTAAAAAATTAGTAAATTTGGATCTCTAATGTTAGTGTTAAATCAATCAAGGCTGTTTTCCAGGAAAGCAAAAATTTAAGAAAAAGATAGGTTTTTCAWAACATTTAATATTATGCTGCAGCCTCCTCTCAACTTTCATCTCTCATCTCTTCTATCACAAGGTAAAAGGCACCAGAAGTAATTTCAATACCTTACTTGGACTTCCAGTGCTTTAGAGGTAGGATTATGCCTGCAGGATTTATAAATTTAACGACTAAATGCTAAATTAGGATGTATCGTCAGTTGTTCTGGCTTTTTTTGTTTTCCTAGGTGCGGTGTGTTTTGGATTTTGGGTTTGACTTCTAGCATGCTGAGGCTGTTGCCTGTCACAGCCCTGATCACCAGGGTTTTTTGTCCCGCTGTCAGAATGTGTTGGTCCCGCTCCCATCTCGTGTACTTCAAGGGTACATTATCAAGGAAAGGTTTATCCTTTTGCATCCACTTATAATGTTCGTGTGACACAGTTTATGACTGGGTCCCTGTGTTCTGTGACAATGCATTTAATATGCCAATCATCTGGTCTTTAAAGTATTYCTTTGTGTGCTGTTCTTTAGGGAGCATCACCAAAGCAGGGCTCCCCTGTTAAAGCATGATGAGGTGGTGCCTTACCAAGGGTGTTTGCCCAGGTAGGGTGACCCTGGCAGAGTGCAGCATCAATGGAGGAGCAGCGATCCCAGCTCCACGCTGCCCACTGACAGCTGGCACTGGTGGCTCTGGTGCTACACTGAGTTTTTTAAGTACTCCTGGAGCTATGCCATGGAGGCCTTCTCAGAGACATTTCAGGTATGTACCCCATACCAAAATGGGGTACATGATWCTGGTAAGGAATTGTGTCTGCAGGTGCTACATGACTAAAAATATTTATCTATGTGAGTGTGTAAAATGTTTAAATATTTTGCAGGGATTTTTTTTTTACTGGGATACTGTTTATTAGTTTAGGCAACACTAAAATTTGGGGTTTAAGCTGAGTTTAAGCTCCCAAGGCTTGGACTCTTGTCCCCAACAGTCACTGTGCCTCAGAGCTGCCGGTGCACTAATCTGTGCTCATCCAGAGTGGACAACTAACAATGAGTTGAACAGAAACTGCCAGCGGGTTTACCTCCAGAAAGCTTCCAGGTTGAGCGGGATTACTTCCCTGTTCCCTGAAAAAGTGGGGGTATGGAATAACCCCCCCATCCTTGATGGGCTGGTATTCGTAGAAGCTGGGGCTGCCATGAAATATTAATAAATTACAGAAAAGCAAGTGGTGGTTGCAGGTAAACTAAAAACATACGAGGCAGAGGACTGAGCCAGCTGGTTCTGTGACAAAGGATTCACAAATACAGCTTATTTCACTGTTTATTCCTGAGTTTACAAAGTCATTACCATAAATTAAAAATACATGGATGCAAGTCCCATATAAACTCTCTTCAGCAACAGAGATGAGAATTTGTCTTGTTCAGAGATCTTCCTTTGCCTGCAAGATAGCTGAGTTTACTGATTATTTTTTACCTATGTTACTGTGACATGGCAGATTATTTCCCTGCTTATAGTGTATGTTTTACCATGAATTCGGCCAGGTAATCTTAGAGACAGGTAGAGACTCAAGTTAACTTCAAAAATGGAAACCTGGGGTGGACAAACAGAACATCAACCAATAAAACACAAGTTGAACTCTTTTTTCTAGAATATTGTGCTTAAAGTTTCATATAAATGGTGAGGGTAATATAAATATGTACAGGTCAAACAGGTCTATGCTATTCACAAAACTGTTCTGTACATGGCCTGTTAAAATGCTTCATAGATTCACTTCGAGTAGCAACCATTTAAGCAGTTTCAAGTAAACTGAAATATGCCGAGACCATTTTTTGTACCTCTTGAGTATATACAATTGTCACAAATACTTCTTTAAATATTTGACAAAGAAAGCTGCTATAAGGATGAATCCTTTCTTGACCAGGCTCCCCAGAGTGCCAGTAGAAGGATCATGATGATCACTGTGTAAAGGATAAGGACTGTAACAAGATCATCTCCATGCTGGTGCTTGAACCCAGAGATGCTGTTCCAGTTCTCACTTTTTTCCCCATTAGTTTTCTGTCTGTGAGCACGGAGAGACTGTATCCTGACAGAACAGAAAGCAAGATTAAGGTTAAAAAATATTAATTTTTTTTGTTATTAACAGTTCAGTAGTGTTTGTAATGAAACCCAGAGTGTGCATTGTATCATTGACTAGATTTGGGAAAGAGCTCTTCAAACTCTGTGGGGCTAATAAAGTACTTTCCATAATTAGAAATGCAAAACATTTAGCAGCCATTTGGTATTTCTCTCCCACTGACAGGCAGAGAGGCTGGGTATGGGCTTGTTAAAGGCAACACAGTGCTCTCTCTCTGCACTGTTGATACAGATCATTGTATGAGAAAAAACATACCCTTTTATTTTGCAATATTATGAAAGTGGCAGGATTCAAATAAAAAATTACCAGTTTCCAAAGCTTTAATCCATGGGAATAAACACAGCATGTGAGCTTCCCATCCTCCTCCGACATGTTTTTCTATCTCTGTTTTTCAGAGGGGACTTGTGTTCAGATATTCATCAAGCAAAGCAAACCAGTCAGGAGTCACTATGCAAAGCATATCTGCAGGATTCCCTGCAGTAACACCTGACATTGCTTTGCCACCTTTCCCAAATGGCTTAAAACTAGAGGTATTTGCCAATGGCAACAGACCTCAAAGTTATTATCTCCGCTGAAAATTGCCTTCTAAACCCCAAAGCTAAATCCTTGTTCCTGCTGGTTTTGCTTTGGGTGGGTTTTTTGGGTTTTTTTTTTGGTTCGGTTTTTTTTTAAGAGAAAAGAGATGTTTAATGTTCATAATTACATCTGAACTGGAATGCCAAAAGGAGATCAATTCGCTTGTGATTTTCACATTGCTTAGGAAGCGGTCTGAGATGTATTAGATGTATTGYGGATCTGGTTCATACATGCTCCTGCTGTTACCACCACAGAGTAGAGATTACCACAAATGTGAGCACAGACAGCTTATGAGTAAAAAAGAATTTTAAACCACTTATGCACACTTGGAAGAGAGCTGTCAAGACTGATTTTTTAAAACTAAAAGACTAGGAAATGCAGTCTCCAAAAGGGTATTCATCAATAAAACAGAAGCTCTGCAGCTGCGATTTTCAGAAAGTAATTGCAGAATTAGACGTTTAACATTTGTATCAGGAAAATCTGTTGAGTGTAGCTGCAAATCAAATAACACAGTTCATGATCATCTGGGAGCATCATCTGAAGATCATGAGAGGAATATTCTGCCAATAGTTTGCTTTTCTATTCCTACCTGACAGGAATGCAGTATATGCAGCTTACCTTCTGCAAGCATTCATGGTGTCTGGATGATTGAGCTCCCACTGCGTCAGATTTCTTCTTGCGGAGGGGAAAAAAGCCTTTTTTATCCTCTTGTTTCGTTGCACAAAATGAGAAAATTTTCACTCAGTACCAACAAAAAGAATCTTTCTTCCAAGCCCATCAACTTGACCAAAGATAATCTTGGAGCACGTGCTATGTGTGTCAACAAAAGCTCTCAAATTAATGTTTTCTAAAGCTGATTTTGACATAGTTCTTCAAGAAATTCCGTTGAGCAGTTCACAAGGCAAGTCATGAGTAATCCAAATGACTGGCTTCTTTTAGCTGCTGGGATCTCTTCTTATACACAGTAGCTTGCTGCTGAAGTGTTGCCAAATTCATAACAACACAAGTAATGCACAGATGGAAGGTGCTGGTGATGAAAAATGCAGGATGAGCTGTAACTTAAAATTACTTTCTATTAGATCACAGGCTATTTTGGGGTAAAACTTAGATCCTTTCTACGCTATTTTGGATTAAATTGCCTGGAGGAAATTTCAAGCCACCATCACTTAGATGTGCTCTAATACTCAGATATTTTTATGAAAAAAGTAGATGCCTTTTTTAATAAACCATTGACTTTTAGAACATTATCACATTTGGTAAGCAATCGATAAGCAATATATCAGCACAAATAAAACAGTTTGACATTTAGGCCTAGTAACAAAGTCACATACATACTATTATTCCCTGACCACTTGGAGCCATTTATTGACAAGAAGCTGTGCCATTGCAGTTCTCCCAAGCTGGGTGATCAGCTGGTGGATTTAGTATAATCAAGGCAGTACCCCTGTAATGATTTGTAGGGCTTGAAAACACATTTAAATTTGGCATTTATAAAGACAGACAAAACCCCTGCTTTCCTAAAAGACTTCCTTGCGTCATCTTTAACTATCCAAAATTTAAAACAGCTGTATTTCTCATTTACCTATTACTTTCAGGCTTATTGTCACATATACTTGCTATTAAGACAACTCTGAACATGTAGTTCTGGTGCATTTTTAAAGGCTTTTGCCTTTCCTTCACATATATCCTGGTTACAGCATTTATATTTTTATATAAATAAAACTGGTTCCTTAGTTTTGTTAAAGCAACTAGCAATTTCCAAATATGTCTTGGAAAATCACTTACACTCCAGAAAATTAATACTGAGTTTGTTCACCCATGTGARTAAAACTGTGTCMCTGGAACCAGTGAAGTACTGAGGACACCWTCAYTCTTCATTATTAGTAATACATTAAATCTAGAAAAAKATTACAATGGYTTGGAAGAAGAAATCCAGACATCARTAAAGAATTACTGACTTAAATCAGGTCTAGCTTTTTCAGASCTGATCCTGAGACTATAGGAAGTTACARCTTTTKGATTCTGTTTTCTTAAATAACAGGTACAGAGTGGTAGATGCCACAATAAAAGCTGTACACTGAATTTTTCCCATATGTATTTAGGCTTCTTTATATATTTTTTTACTTCGGTCATAGGATCTATAGTATTTACAACCTATTTGCCCCTTTGCACATTAGTTTTATCTTGGTTTTTTGGTTCTTACTGATGCTTTCATTTTTTGACTGAACTAAGAAAMAGAAGGTATGTGCAAGCCTCATCTCAGACGGTAAGACTGTTGAGTTTTGGCCATATAATACAGTCTTGGAATCTCCCAAATTCTATTTATCATCATTTTCTYTGTGGAAAATTATCCTTTATAACATGCATGGCCCAACATTATTAACATAGACATGGACCCTTGCCCAACCTACTGAAAATGCTCTTGCGTTGTTAGTGAGACATTCTACAGGCTAAAGCATGGAAGAGAAGAACAGTAAAAAATTAGAATTGAAATCGTTACATCAGCTATAATAATTCCAGGATCAATGAGGMAAACAACAAAGGGAATGGGTAGAAAATCCTGAGGTAAAAAGCTGGAAGACAGAAACTGAAGATTGGCCTGTTTTGAAAGCAACTGATTGTTTTCCATGCAACTGACCACTGCCAGCCAGAAGGGACTCCTGGGGTGACATGAAGGGACGAAAAGTGGGAGGTGAGCATGTGAATATTCAGCCCATAATCCTATTTGTCCCAGTCACTTACTGTGCATATTAGCCAATACAGAGGATACTTGTTATATACTCTAGTTACATATATACTGCTTGCAGGGCTCCATGAAACGCTAAAGAATACAAATGGCCAGGTGGAGAAAGGGTTAAGGAGTATTTCATGTATATGAAATTCTGCAGGTGATTGTTAACTATTTTTATTCAGCTGATAAATTCCAGCCCAGTGATTTAGTCATCCCAAAATACTTAGAACAGAATACATCACTGGAACGCAATTTCTGAGGCCATGCATGCGTTAGGAGAAAACCCTAAGCACTGCACAGCATTAAATGTTAGAAGAAATGTGAAGAGTGGTGTTTTTCCTAGTGTTTTTCACTAAAACTTTCTTATCAGTCAAGACGCATTAATTGGCAGTAGCTTGGACTTGCTATTCCTTATGCCACCTTAGGAGCAGGTATATATTCTCTTCACAGAATCAGGTTGGAAAATRTCTCTGAGTSCAACCTTTGACTGAACACCCCTTGTCAACCAGACCATGGCACCGAGTGCCACATCCAGTCTTTCCTTGAACGCCTCCAGGGCAGCACATTCCAGCGTCTAATCGCCCTTACTGTGACTAAATTCCTCTCATGTCCAAGCTGAACCTCCCCTTAGCCTCACTTTTAAAGTGAAGSTACCAGGACAATCATATCCAGCAAAGGGGTCAAGGCAGCCAAAGGAATCGGTGCGCAGGCTGCACCGCAGCCAGCACGGCTGCTGTGCCTGGAGTCACCGCGCACGCCGGCACGGCCGCAAGGTGAGACCTTCAGAAACGCCCACACTCTGCTGAGGTTTTCCTTGCGCTGCTGCCACCAGCGCGGCTGCCGAGGCCGGCCAGGCAAAGCGGGCTGTGCACGCACGACCCGCGGGGAGCCCACACCGGGGCGGATGCGGGATGAGCGCGGAGGGGCCGCCTGGAGCCCACACCGGGGCGGGTGCGGGATGAGCGCGGAGGGGCCGCCTGGAGCCCACACCGGGGCGGGTNGCCTGGAGCCCACACCGGGGCGGGTGCGGGATGAGCGCGGAGGGGCCGCCTGGAGCCCACACCGGGGCGGGTGCGGGATGAGCGCGGAGGGGCCGGCGGCGCAGCCCAGCGGAGCAGCCGTTGCGAAGCCCCGCTAACTACAAGGCCCAGAATGCACCGGGAGGGCGCTGTATCCTTCGAACCTGCCAATGAGAGCGCGCGGGGCGCGTCACGTGGTCGGGGCGCGCTTTTCAAGGCCGGGCGGGTGCGTGGCGCGGCTCGTGCGGGGCGGTGAGGGGCGAGCGGTGAGCGCGGCGGGACGGGACGGGACGGGACGGGACGGGACAGGACAGGACAGGGGTGATGGCGGCCCCCGCCCGTGCTCGGGCCCTTCCCCGGCGCCCCAGCGAGGTGTCCGGAGGCCTTTCCCCGGCTCCCGGTGATGGGGACATCGTTGCGGTTGGGGAAGGGGCGGGGGGACCTGTGCGAGCTCGCCTGAGGAGGGGCTTTGGGCGGTCGGCGGGATGGCGAGCTATGTGATATGCCATAAACCACCTTTTCGGTGGTGCCCAGCGACAGAATGGGGAGAAATGGCCTTAAACTAAAACATAGGAAGTTTTATCCGAACGTGAGAAGGAACTTCTTTCCATCGAGGGTAGCAGAGCACTGGAATAGGCTGTCCAGGGAGGTCATGAATGACTCTGGAGACATTCCTGGAGACATTCCTAACCCAGCTGGAGGCGTTCCTGTGTAACCTGCTCTAGGTGACCCTGCCTTGATGGGGATTGGGCTGGATGATCTCCAGAGGTCCCTTCCTAACAGTTCTGTTGCTCTGCGTGGCAGTCCCTAAATAAAAGAATCTTAAAAGGGACTGTTTACCTCCTCGCTAATTCAGTATTATCAAAGTTTGTGACCTGTTGTTCGTTTTGGGGTTTTTTTTAAACTCTCTTGCATGGTTACTTCTAAATTTTTCAGATACTATGGAAGAAGGAAAAGAAATGTCAGCACATAGCCTGAGTTGTAAGACTGAAGAAAAACTGGATATTTGCATGAGCAATGGTAGGTGGAGAACATGTTGTGATAGTCTCTACATGGTGTATCTTCTGTTACAGCCTTGGGCAACTCAAATCAGTAGCCATCCTCTMTCTGCCTTGTATCATGWTCAGTTTACTCATTTCCTTGGATGGCTTGCTGTTGCCAGTCTCAGAAGGCACTTTAAGAGCTTGTAGAGCATGGATGCTAAAGTTTGTGTAGTAGTGAGTGATGTCATCAGCCTCTCATGTCTAATCTGATCTCCTCCCTTTTCCTTATCCATCGGCTGATGATTTATTTAGGGTATATATTAACCAACAAGAAAACTAATCTTTCTAACTGACTCCCATTCTTAACAAGAAAAGAAGTGATAGATGGGACAAATGCATTGTCACATAGCTCTAGTTTACATGTTCTCACTTACTTTGATYGGTGGCTGCTGATAAGCTACATTCCATGTTCTTGTTACAGATACTTAGAAATTACCATTGAGCTATTTCAAATATTGGGCATCTCACAATTATGATCATATTCACAATTGTACCTGAAATTTCCTGGACATATTTATCTTCTTTTAATTATTAATCGTATTTTTATTATTATTCTCTTAATTATTTAAACTTGGTAGCTAAAGCTTTTTTTTGCCCTCTGAGATCACTGTCACCAAATTGTCAAAGCATAATGTAGTAATTTTCATTGGAAATCCATGCTGTGACAAAATCCTTGTTATAGTTTCAGACTTTACTCTTCTGACTGATGAAAAGTTTGATTTTGACCTTTCACTCTCTTCAACAAGGTAAGTAATGTAAGTACTATAGACCCTTCAAAATGGACACACATAAGTTGCTGGGCTAAATTATTTTTCTTTGTAGTGGAAATGAAGATGAAGTTTTTATTGGACCTGTGGGACACAAAGAAAGATGCATTGCTGCCAGTATTGAGGCAAAAAAGAGTGAGTCTGCTTTTGATGAAAAACTCACATGGAGCCCACTTCAAGGAGACAAATTTGTAGAAATTTTCAAAGAAGCTCGTTTGTTGGCACTGCAAATAGAGACTGGAAGCAAGGACAAGGAGACCAAAATAACCCAATCAGAAGGACAGGAAAACAAGATAGTAGAAACATTTGTGGAGGACTCAAAGTCGAAGTTGAAGATACTGAGAAATAAAAATATAGAAATAAGTCCCAGGCCTGCTAAACGGGAGACATACTGTGTGCAAGATAGCTCAGCATGTCAGCTGCCGCCTTGTTTTCAGAAAGCATCACATAAACTTTTGTCAGATGGCGAAGTTTGTGCTCTTCCTGCGCCTAACAGAAGCCCTGTTAAAATTTCTGTATCTCCTACAAAAAATGCTGATTTGCCTCTGACAGAGGATCAGAATATCAAGGAAACAAATACAAAGGCAACTAGCAAACTACCAATGGCAAAACCTTCATCTACTCTTGGAAATAGCAATTTGTTGACAATTGACAAGGTAAAGTCAGGTTCTCAACAACATTTTCTTCAAGTAAAGTATCTGTGTTTTAGGAATGTTTAGCCTGTCTACAAACTTTTATTTTTAAAAGTGAACTTTAATCTTCTGATGCTTCTCTACCTATTAAGATGCTTAGTCAGAAAACACTAAAAAAAAAGTTAGGGCAGGTACTAGCATATAGTAACCAATTACTTTATCTAATAGGACAGTGTAGAGCATTTGCAAGCAAATTTCTTTTCCCCTGTGTTGTGGTTTTATGAATACTATGATTCCTGGCTTCTCTTCTAACTAGTTTCTATCACTGTTTTGTTGCTGGTAAAATTACCATACTGTTACACCTCATATATATTTTATTTTACACTTGAAGTGTAAAAGTGACTTCATTTACTATTAATCCTTGTCAATGGAAATGTATTCTGGGATAGCAAGGAAACAGTTGTCTTAGTGACCTTGTGAGCACCAATTTCAGTCTTTAGATACAATATTTTCTGGATTTTACTGCTCTACACTGGATGGGTTAGGCTCCAGTATGTACTGCAGATGTGACAGTGGCTTCTTAAGAACCATCACCTATAAAAATTAGGGGACTCTGATTTTCCTTTGTGGCATAAATTTCTTCTTGATTTTGGGTGCTATAAGAAAAGACGTGATCTTAATGCTTTAAGTAGCCAAATTATATCCCACTGTCTGAATAGACAGTTTGCATGACACAGTCTACTATTGTAATGTCTCATCTTTTGGACGCCAGAGTAAATTGGAACTATATTAAATGGAGAGTCCAATATAGTTATAAGGAGCAGCTGTTACATTATTGAACAGTGTGTGGGTGAATGTGATTATATGATTTCTACTGATGAATTGTTGCAGAACTGTCCTTAAGATAATGTCCAATATCTTGGTCCAAGCATATTCTGGTATTTGGCAAATACTCTCATTAGACTTCAAGATTTCACTATGTTCGGAGGCTTCTTCATTGACTGTTGTCTTGGTTTCTGAACAGAATCAATGTTTGTAAAAAGCTTTATAGTGGTTTCTTGGAGCACAATTAGTTTTTTAAATGTTGCATTGAAATTTGCAGCTCAAAAGAGGAAAACCTACTAGTATTTCTATAAAAAGAGACTTGAACAGCATGGGATCATCTGAAGATGTAATTTCTGATAAATCTAGTATTACTTCAGATGTCTTTGAGTCATCATTCAGCAGCAGTTCCTCAGTGCAAAATACGAAAGTCCTTCCTGCACCAAGTAAGGTAATAGCAAGCCTCCTTAATATGAAAATAACTTCTGTAATATTTCTAATGAAATATAGTTTACTTTCTAATTTAAAGCTGTTATGTAAAATGATTTTAAGGAAGAGTAATCTGTGTTTTATATTTGCCATTCTTGAATGTGTGCTCTTAAGTCTGTAACACAATGAATGTGCTTAAGGGCAACTATTAATGTGTTGGATTAAYAAGCATGCCTTTGTTTTTAAAGAACTAGCTGCAGGTAAGTGATGAGCAGTTTCCTGTAAGAAAGTTTGTGATGTGTATAGTTAACTATACCATATCAAAATGTTGCCCTAACTTGTATGAAGGTAGTATACCTGCAGCTTTCAGTTATATTGAAGCTTTAAGTGCCTATTTTAATGCTGTGTGCCACTTCACTGAATCACAGAATGGTTGAGGTTAAAAGGGACCTTGAGGAATTCTGGTCCAATGCCTGCCCTGCTCAAGCAGAACCACCCGGAGTCATTTACCCAGGCACGTGGCCAGGCAGCTTTTGAACATCTCCAAAGATTAAGTCTTGGCAACCTCAGCCTGTGCCAGTGCTCCGTGGCCCCTTCTGTTTCCTGATGTTCAGAAGCAGAACCTCCTTGTTTTACTCTGCCCATTGCCTCTAGTTCTGTTACTGGGCACCCCTGGTCACCACTGGCTACTGTCCTTTCAGATTTTTCTGTAAATTGATGAGATCCACCTTGAGCCTTGTATTCTCCAGGCTGAGAAGTCCCAGCTCTCAGTCTTTCCTCAGGTGGGAGATGCTTCAGGCCTTTAATCATTCCAGGTGCCCTTTTTTGGACTCTTTCCGGTAGCTCAAATCATTCTTCATATGGGGGAGCCTAGAACAGGACACATGTTCAGGTGTGGGTTCTCAGAGTTAAGCAGAGAGCAGAATCATCTCCCTTCACTTGCTGGCAACGTTGCTGCTCGTGCGGTGCAGCGTTATTTGCTGCAAGGGTGCATTGTCTGCCAGCACTCCCAAGGGCCTTGCCTGCAAAGCAGCTTTCCATCTGGTTGGTGCCCAGCACATACTGCTGCCTGGGCTGACTCTTTATTCTTTAATCCCTTTAAGTCTATATTCAAATTTGTGGCAGGAATAAAAATAACTGTTYGCTTCCTAGATCTGATGTTCTAGTTAAATATAACAGTCCAGATACACTGATCCATCTCTAAGAAAATTCACTTTTTAAGATGTTATCTCATTTAAGGAACTCCTCTAAAATTCACAAGTAAAGATACCAATACCAAAAAATACCAAGACACAATAATGTGTTAAATAGGACATTTTTTTGCATTTGAATAAGCTGTATTCTTTGATTTAGCCTGGCTTAAGGAAGATGACATATCTGAAACGTCCTGGTATTGCCAGTGGTCTCACAAGAAAGACTACTTCATCATCTTCATCATCAGTTTCCAGCATGAACTCAAGTCTTAATTCAAGTTTACCCATTTCTCCTATTGACAAAAAAGGTAATCTCTTACTACAGATTGGTGTCATTAATCAATTTTGAAATAGCTAATAATAAGAATAAGCATGTTCTGGACTTTGGATTTGGAAATGTTTTAATGGTACATTCAAGCACTAAGAAATGTTTTGTATGGAGATTAAAGTTTTCTAGGCTAGCCCAGTAAATCCCTGTGGACTGAAGGTAAATGTTAGACATCCATAATTTGTATAAACTAGATTGATACAAGCCTGATACCACATGTGAGCATCTGACACAGCTAAAAAGGAAGCAATGCCCCAGGAATTCTGTTCCTTTTATCATGATCCTCTTTATTATAGCCAAGAATATGGGCTTCCAAATGTTCTGAGCTTGTCTAACTTGAATTAAAAGAAAAAACTCGCTGAAACAACTGAAAATTTGAAGGAAAGTAGAAGGCCTCCTTCCAAGTTTCTGTAAGCCTAAATAAAGGATGAGCTTTACTCAAGCATGTGGGAAAAACCACTTTTAGGAAGATTACACATCTGAGAGGCTTGTGCTATATTGAGGACGTCAATTTGACCTTCACTAAGGCTCAAAGGTTCAGGAAAATAGTCACCTAAAAGTGCTGACAGATGACAGATGTAAGGACTACAGTTCCTTTACATCTATCAAAAATACCAAGTTACAGTTAATTTTTATTTTGCACCTTATTTCTGGGAGATTAATAATATATTAAAAGCTTAAGAACTATTTTATGCAATATAACTATCTAATCAAGATTCATCCTGTTAATGAAAGAAACCTATAGACTAAAAGTAAGAATTGTACAAAAACCTGGGAAGAATGCTTGTGGGGGAGTTTAGCCTGTGTTAATCAGTGTAACTCAATATATTACCTCCTTGAAAGGCTGCTTAAGGGAACAGGGCTAGCTATGCTGGGAGAAAATGCTGGAAGTAACTTGAATCTGCAAGCTGTTTTGGCATTCCTTGAAGAATGTTCTTTCACTTGATTGCAGAATTGAGGAATTGGGTAAGAAGACTGTAAAATAAAATTGCTGGAGAGTTTGAGGAGTAGATTTTCAGTTGTTGTATATGTTCTCCTTAAACTTGAATTGTTTGAACCTAAATTTAAGTGCTGTAAATTGCTATTTTTCTTTCCTGTTTTTCTTTCCCATTAGTATAATTATTCTGCTTAGTCAAAAATTTATCAATAAGTGACGATTCAGAAGTACAACTTTCTATTTCAGGAAAAGCAAGCACGTCATTAAAAGCTAGTGTGAGTGGCTCTAAGCTGCCATCTAGTATGAGCAGGTTGGCCCTTGTCAGACCTACCACAGTGCCATCTCTGCAGACTGCCAACACTGAGAAATCCAGGAAGCAAGTGAGATCAGCAAGTACTCCCAAAATATCTAGTGCTGTAAGCTTGGCTAAATCTTCAGCTTCTGCAACATCCTGTGAGGCTGCAGGCAGTGGAATTCAGAGACCAAGCTCTGTTGCCAGTCTGCAGCAGCTATGTCAACAGAATAAAGATGGAAGTTCAACAAAAGGCAGCCTTTGTYCAACGCCTAAGGCTAGAGTTCTGTCTGTTTCTACAAGTCAAACTAAGGCTCCTATGAAGACTTACGGTAAGCACATACATTGTATGACCTGTTTTCTGCCTTGGTTAGTAAAAGCAAATGTTTCCTTGAAGGCTTGTTATTTGTTTCATTACACTTCTGTCCATCTTTGGGAGGGAATTAGTGTTTTAATGAAAAGGTATCTGCTATAAAAGAAATATGAATCTAGTAGCAATTATCACAACTTTTCTCTTTAGATGCAACGCCAAACAAATCAGGACCAAAAGCAACACCATCTCTTGGATTAACATTTTGTGGCACCCCTGGAAGGTAGGGCTTCACTGAAAATTGAATGCATTGAGGCTTCCTTCTTAGCATGCAACATGGTTGGGTGTTGCAAGAGTCTTTGAAAATGCTGTAACTTGGTTATTGGAACTAATCATAATCCCTTGAGACCTGCCAAGTTAGATGTATTAATGCCTTGGAACCAATTTAAAACAAATCAAACCTCACAACTAAATCAATTAACCTCTCCAACTTTACTCAGAAAAGGGTTTTTTCAGTGCTAAATAGACTAAAATAATTAAAATTGTTATCAAATAAAGCCCTTACTATGCTGTGATTATCCGCTTCAAGGTGAATACTGTTCCCTTACTGACCAAAGGGAAATGGATTTCTATTGCTTGGTAGAACAGTATTATTCAAACAGTTTCTAGAAATTTTTGGCTATGGCATGTTCCTCTTCTAGTGCCATGGCAGTCAGCACTCCTATGAAAGCCTCAGAAGATAAGGTCTTCCAGAGTTTTTGTTTTCCTGAGAGGTCTGCCACCATGACTCCTGCCAGTGTGAAACGGTCTGGCCTACCTACACCTGTCCGTCGCAGCTCAGGATTCCCACCAGTGACACCTAAAACTGTACCAAGAGCAGCATTTTCTCCACATGCTGCATCTCTTCGGCAAAGCTTCAGTTTCTCTACCAAAAAGACTCTTACAGCTGGGTAAGACAGAAATCTTCATATATGGAAAGAGTATAGTAGGCAAACTGCTTCTGAATGAATGCTAGTGATGACTCTTGGGTTTCAAGGACCTCTGCTATATGTTAGAATAAAGCATTTGAGCATAGAAAAGCTGCATTGGCCTAATAAAAATTTATAACTGGTGGCTGGCAAAATGCTGTAAGCTGAGGTGAGTCAATATCTAAGGAATTACAATTTTAATAGGAAATTATTTGTATTTCTTAAGCTAGGGGAACAATTTAAGACTTGTATCTGATGCTCTCAAAACAGATCTGGTGTTGGTGTTATTTTGCTATTGCCTTCTGATGAAGGGAAATAGCTGATTAAAATGCATATTTTAATTTTTATATTGTTGCCAATGGTCTGTAAAATTACACTTTTTAAAGCCTCAGTCAAAAAGCCAAGGATTTCATTGATTTGAATTTTATTTTCTAAGCAGCTTTACTTATGTTTTAATTGTTTTTGTTTTTTGTGAAACTACTGTTGCCTTCCTCATTGTATCAGCCCAGCATCTTCTGACAAGGGCCATACATATGTATGCACGCTTGTTTTGTGGCTGGTGGAGACAATCTGTATTAAAGTAGGAATGATTCAGGGCTAGGAAACTGTATCATGTTACTTAGGCCAAATGTCTCAAATAGTCTTTTCTCTCAAGAAAATGGTTTTTTGGTCTACAATGACTTTATCATGTTAATCAGATTACAGCCTCTGGTCCTCCAGCCAGTGTCAGTTCTTCCTTTCAGCAGGGACTGAAGTGGGTTGCTCAGTGATATATAAATTCATTGCCTCTGTTTTTTTTTAAACTTGGAACAAATAGCAACGAAAATACCTTGTGTGAAGATTAGGCTGGATGGAAATGTCAGATAAGATTAAATTCTTCATAATCCATTTTTTTTTTTTTGCATGGGTAGGCTATACTTCTATTGCAGAATGAAATATTCTGTATTTTGCAGGTAACTAGCATTTGGATAAAAATGTGGGAAGCCTTTTAATCATTAAAAGTTGAGGTAAAAAAGAAGAAAATTAGGTTAGGAATTGGCTTGTCTATATTTAATAGTTTGTGCTGATTAAATAACTATCACTGATGCGCTTTTCCTTAGCTCTAAGCAGAAACAAGAGAGTAAGACACAGACATCTTCTGAAGATGATACATCTCCTCCACCTGTGCTACCTCTTGCACTAAACTTCTCACCAGAGAAAACTGCTACAGAAGGAGTAGAAAATGCATTAAAAGAGGCTGAAGTACAAAATGAGCTGACTGAAGTACAAAATGAGCTAGCTGAAGTACAGAATCAGCTGGCTGAAGAAAAACAACCTGAGGTAAGAAATGACTGCATTTTCCTACGCACTACTAAGTAAACTGCTTGAAACCAAATTATTTCAAGATAAGGGATAGGTAGGAAAACCAAATTAGTATACATGAAGTTAAAATGCATTAGAATCATGAAATAATAGAATATTCTGAGTTGGAAGGGACCTATCAGAATCATCAAGTCCTATTCCAGGCCCTGCCCAGGACACTCCAGAGATCACACCACACACATCTTAAACTGTGTCAGGCTTGGTGCTGTGACCAGTTTGCTGGGGAGCCTGTTCCAGTACCCAGCCACCCTCTGGGTGAAAAACCTTTTTGTGATATCCAGCCTAAATCTCCCCTGACTCTGCTTCATGATGTTTCCTTAAGTACTGTCACTGATCATGAGAATGAAGATTCGTACCTGCCCCTCTCTTTCCCCTTGTGAGGATGTCAAAGAYCACAATGAGGTCTCCCCTCAGTCTCCTTCTCCAGGCTGAGCAAACCAAGTGCCCTCAGCTGCTCCACATAAGGCTTCTCCTTCAGACCCTTCACCATCCTTGTTGCCTTCCTCTGGGATGCTCTCTAATAACTTAATGTCTTTTTATATTGTGGTGCCCAATTAGCTGGAGCCATGTGCCCACTCTAGTGCCTGTATTTAGCACTGAACATCATGTGTTCAGTATTTCCACTAAGTGTGTTCCCTTAGCAAATGCATTCCCTTCGCAAATGCACTGTCAAATACTTGCAGATTTGATATTAAACTTCCAGTTTTAGAAGAATACTGTGAAATTCTTGTGGATTCAATTAGAAAAGCAGTGTTGCAGGGCAGTTCCTGTGGCAGCCATTGAACTCCTTCAGGGATTAATAAAAACCTCAAAGTGCTGCAGCTAAATTCAGTCACCTAATAGGAATACAAATCTGCATACACTGAGGAAGGATTAAACCCCTAAGTCCATACAGCTGTAAACCTAAGTGTCAAATAATTAGTTTGGTGAGCACTTCCCCTCCCCCAAGGAATGTAGTTGCTTCATGTTGAAAGCTGGTATTCCACAGGCATTAAGAAGAAAGGACTGAAGTTGTAGTTCTGAAATATTAACCTGACAAAGTGGCTATTGTTTTACAAATACTCAGGTGTAGAATAATCTGTAGATTAATGACTTGATATCATTGCATCAATATGTTCCTTGTTAGCTTAGTCGGCATGAAGTGTCTGTTCAGAATTGCTTAGTATGTGTAGGGGTAGTTAAACTGGACAAAAGGATAACATGAGTGTGAAGCTGTAGAGTAGTTTATATGGCTAAATAACACTACACAATAATTGTAGTTAAATTGTTTAACTATTAAGAGGGTTAATATTCTACTTTAAATTTAACTACTTTTAAGTGAAAAATTCCTTTATGCCCAAAGGAGCATCTTTTGCTTTGTCTTACTGCATTTTTGCTGTGATACTAGCCACTGGCAGAAGAGGAGCTGAGGTTTTTATACTGCAATGAATCCTGCATGATAAATACCCAAGCTGTAAATTAAGCTTGTTCTGTATTATGGCTGTATAAGCTAAATTAACTGCCTCAATGTATATAAAGAAAGCTCGGTGAACAGAGGAGAAAACCTGATTTCTTTTTTTTTTTTAAGGCCTTACTGCTAGATACTGGAGTAGACAAATCTCTCCCATACACTTCTGAATGTGACAGTAGACCTTTGATTGACCTTTCCAATACTCCTGAAGTGAGTAAGATTATTTCTCCAAAGCCTGTACTGTCTGGACAGATAAAGGTAAGTTTTATTGAAATCATCTGGTGCAAGTGTATTAGCAGAAAAATGTCAACTGGCTGCATACCCTTGTCTGCAGAGCAGTTCCACAATACTGTAGGAATTATTAAATTATTTAATAATTATTTAATCTTAGCTCAATATGATATATGTAATGAGGTGCTCTTAAGAGAATGTCATGTTTAAAATTAAACAGTGTATTCTGAATTAGAGCTCAGTGAGCAATCTGCAAATAGGAAAAGGAGGAGGACAGAGAAAAGACTTAGTATTTAAAGCTTGTTATAGAATGAAACTGTTCTGAAGCAGGAAGTGAATCTTGTCTTCAGGAGAGTTGGCATGCTTATTCATTTCTCCTTTTTTGCACACTTTCAGTTCTTGACAGCAGCTCATTTTAATCACAAAAGAAAGGTTGCTTGTCCTAATCCTTCCCTTAGTAGTAAAGTACACTGCTGGAATCTGCTCTAAATTTTACAAACATTTCTCAGCGASTGCTTTTTTTCATATATTAATGGCTTGAAGGCCTTTAGATACTGTGAGATGAATGCTGGGTAACTATGAGGATGCAACCTTTGACCATGGATGTAGTTGGGGTCAATTATCAGGCCCTTCAGACTTTGTCAGAGGAGGATTGCAGAACTCTGACTTCAGGAGGTCTGTTCAGAGTTCAAAAGTGCTGTCTTGTCTGGATGACACTGTCACTAGAATATACATAGTAGTGAAACTCAGAAAAGCCTTTTAGGCTTTTAAGGTAAATGTAATAACCACTTGTGAGAAGCTTGTGCTTGTCCTGGAATGAGCTTATGTTTAAAAACTTTAAACAAAAGCTTGAGTGTGGTACTTGTATTTGTCTTCTGGATACTGATAGCAACCCTAAACAAAAACGTACTGGAGAATAATACAGGTTATAGCTGCTAGTAACTATGCACAGCAGTTGACTACAATAGCTAATTTGTATTGGTTTTCTTTCAGCTAATTGATTTGAGTTCTCCTCTTATCACTCTGAGCCCTGATGTAAACAAAGAAAATCTGGATTCCCCTCTACTCAAGTTCTGAATTTGAACTGAAATGAAGAATTCTTGGCAACTGTGATCCTTGAAGTGTTTTAGGTGTTGTTCTCTACTCTTCCAGTTTTTTGAAGATGGCTTTAGATTGTCTGATGAACTGCATCAACAAAATAGAATTCTAACAGTCTTGATAAAGTCAGAGTCTGATAATGGTTTTGTTCATGGATGTGCTGCAATGGATATATTTTAACTGTGTTGCTCTAATGCAAAAAAATGGATGTTCTCTGGATTGCAAACCTGTCTCCTTGGTTCCTACCAAGTGTCATTTGATTCTTTTCCTCTATGTACAACAAAGTTTTAATTTAAAATAAATGAGTTGTTCACTAAATGTGTACAAAATAGCAAATATTTTTTTGCATGCCTTGGGGTGAACTTATCTAATGTTTCACTAACAAATGCTAATGTGTAGGTAAAAGCTAGTGGCCATCCGGGTGGTATAGCAAGTTTGGAAACAAATGCCAGTGGAATAAATCAACAGCACTACCTGAATTTCTGTTGTGCAAAGGATTAAATACCAGATGGTTTAGTCGTGGCTGCCCCCAGCTGGGATAAGGGATGTGTAGCAATCAAAGATATTTTGTTCTGAATTTTCCTTTATCCCAGTCACTGTGCTGTCCTGTGGCTCAGGAGCAGTGGGAGGAGTCGTGCCTGGAGTGTGTGAGGGTTTTGGGTGGCTGCTGAGGGCTCCGGGGCGCTTTCCCCGGCCAGCCCGGTGCGTTCCCCTGGGTCTCGGTGCGCAGGCGCTGTGGGAGCGCGGTTGGCGGAAGCGGCGGCGCGGCGATGCTGGCGGCCCAGGGGCGCCGCGTGGCCTGCGCCGTGTCCGGCGGGGTGGACAGCGCTGTGGCCGCGCTGCTGCTGCGCCGCCGAGGTGCGGGCTTGGGGCAGGCACGGAGGGGGCGAGGGCGGCGGGGCCCGGCCATGGCCTGTGCCGCGCTTTCCCCGCGCTCAGCCGGTGGAGCGGCCCCGGGCCGGGCCGAGCAGCGCGGGGGCGGCAGAACGGCCCTAAAGGAGGGGCGGGAGCTGTGACCATCGCTGTAGGCTGCCAGAGGACCTTGAGTTAGCTATTATGTAGAGAAAAAACATAACTGTAAATATAAAGCTTAGCACAGAGCTTCGGAAATATGCAAAACCAGTCTTGAGAAACACAGGGTTTGAGTCCAGGCTGTAAGAATAACTTTCGAAGTCATTGTTTCGTTCATTTCGTAGGCTACCAGGTGACGGGTGTGTTTATGAAGAATTGGGACCCCCTGGACGAGCAGGGAGCTTGCTCCATTGACAGAGATTGTGAAGATGCTTACCGCGTATGCCAGAAGCTTGATATCCCGTTTCACCAGGTTTCCTATGTGAAGGAATACTGGAATGAAGTATTCAGGTAGAAACACAGTGACAATAGCTAGTGTTTCCGTATATTAATATGCTACCGTGTTACGATGAAAAGCAAGAATGAACAGATAAGGAACTATGGCAGTTCTTTGCAGTATTATCAATACTAAGAAAAAGCCCTGAAACCTGTTAAATATCGAGGAATTACTTTTTTTTCATTTGTATTTGAGGTCAGAATTTATATCTTAGTTTTCATATGTTATTTTAACAATTAGTAGTAGGTTTCTCCTTGTGTAAATGTGTAGCACCTGCTTTGTTATGGCTCATATCTTCAGCTACCTATGTACTATCCCAACCTTACTGCAACTTAAAAAAAACCCYGTTTAAGGGGGTGCTGTTATCGTCTGCATGTGTAACTTATACAGTGCATTTTGCATAATGTGTCCTGAATCCATTTTAGCACAAAATTATTGTGACCTACCCTTGCTTTCTTAAACTTTAATTTGAAACTGTCCTCTACAGAGGGTGCTCAGATTTTCTGTGAATATGTCGCGTTTTAAGGGAAGTTCTACACAGGAAAAGCTGAGAGATTTTCTTGGTAGGTAGGAGAAGGGATACCTTGGTATAACAGTATAATTTATCTTTATGCATTCAACGTAAGTACATAAAAGCTATTCCTTGATCTTCATCATCCCCCCTTAAACAGTGCTGTTATTACCTTCCATGAAACTGAGGAATAACCTAGTCATGCTACTTGTAGTGCATGTTGAAATGACATCAAGCTGAGTGCCAAACTTTTGGACAGTTAATGAAGAAAACAGCAAAACATCTCCTTTCTGGGAAAGTTCACTCCATTTTTTCCCTTTTRGTGTGAGAGAATGAATAAATGCTTCAAAACTTGTTGGAGTTTATTAGCACAGTGTTTCCTAACATTCTGTTACAGGTGTCTTGGTTTGTTTCAGAATCCTATTGTCTTTACCGTCATCATTGAACTTAAATTTGCTCCTCCTCTGGATCTCTTTTTAAAGGGTTATTCACTATAAAACACCTTTTATCACAAGAACTGTTCCAGGTTTTSTCTTTTCCATGGTTTGTGCAAAGCCTGTTTCAGTTCTGTCTGTTTGAGAGAGATCCAGCTGGCATTTTTCATTGCCCTTTCTCTGGTTCTGTGCTTTACGAGAAGTTCTTAACTGACGTGAGCCTGGCTTTGTGTTGAGTCCATCTTACAACTCCCAGGGTACCATAAGAGTACAGTGTGAGCCATTAGGCACCTGTGGGGAGACCCGGGTGATTTAATTGTTAGTGTGAGTTGAATTTGGAACTTCTAAAAAGGAGTAAGAGAAAATAAAAGATAGGTTGCTTTATTTTCTGTTTATTAATGTAATGTATCACGTGATAAGGAAGAAGCAATTGATTCTGTTTCAGATGGAGAAAAATAAACCCAAGTATTAGGATTGCTGTTCTTCTGTTAAATCCAGTCTGTGCCCTCAGTTCCTCTTGATTGCGCTGGCTGCTGACAACAAGCAAAATGATGCAATGATGAGACCTTTTGATATCTCAGGGCAGTGTTATATGCTAGTTTTATTTCATTGGTTATTGTTTCAGTATTTTGAAGTGAATAATAGTAATTAATTATGCAGCAGTGTAAGACTACAATATAAGTCTGAGAAATTTTGACTTTCAAAAGGAAAAAAAAAGGACCAGAAAAAGTCTCAAAAATTAAGCCTCATGAATGACTTCTTCTGGTGATGTTATTACAGCTGAAATGATTGTCTGTTCAGTTGAGACACTCCTGATTTATATTACCATATTGTCAATTACTAATTATTCAATTTTGAAAGTGAGTGTTCTGTAAGAGATGAGTAGGATGTGAACAATGGGCAGGCACATCTGCCCAGAGGGAATATTAATTTAATGAGGCAGGGTTACAAGATTGCAAGTAATAATTTGACCCTGTCCTCAGTGCACTCTGGAGAAAATCTTCTAAACATTAATGTTTTGCATGTTAAAATCTAATTGGTATTTTATTTCTGACATAAAATGTTTACTATGACTGGGTCTTCTCTGAGACTAGGACTCAGATTCTCATATTTAAACACTGCCCAGTTTCTGATAGTGTTATGCATCTTAATGATTCTGATAGACATTTGAGTCTTTATTTTACAGTGACCTCTTAAAAGAGTATGAATTGGGAAGGACGCCTAATCCTGATATTTTGTGTAACAAGCACATAAAATTCAACTACTTTCTGCATTATGCTATGGATAACCTTGGTAAGGCATTTTCAAGTGTGTCAGTAAAGAGTGTGTGCCATGGAAATGCTTAAAGGAAACAAACTATTTAAAAGGTGGGGAAATACATGAGTTCATGTGCATGCCTGACTCTTATCTCTGTGGTAGTGTGTCAATAGTTGTAAAGTATTTGGTTTTAAGATTTCTTTTACATATAGAATCATTGAATGGTTCAAGTTAGGAGGGACCTTTAAAGTTCATGTAATCCACCCCTCCTGCCCCGGGCAGGGACATCTTCCACTAGATTAGGTTGCTCATATGTAGGAACAGATTTATTTCTGGACACGAATTGTTATGAATTGACATAAGTTTTACATTCTTAGGTGGTCCTTAAAGTACAAAAGAGCAAGTGCTGGCATGCTGATGAATAGTTTGCATGATTTAAATAGCAGGAGTATAATTATTGTCAGTGTAAGACTTCTCTATAGGTTTTCTTCTTCCATTGCTTTCTGCTTTTCATGCTGTGTGTTTGCAATCCTGTTTTGAATCGTGAATTTCAAGTTCATGCCTTTATGTTATGTTTGGTTTTTCTTTCCTTTATAGGAGCAGATGCAATTGCTACTGGGCATTATGCCAGGACCTCACTGGAGGATGAGGAGGTATTTCAACAGAAACATACCAAAAGACCACAGAGGCTTTTCAGAAACCGTTTTGAAGTTAGAAATAGTAAGTTATCTTCCTTTCATGTTTCATCCTACATATGAAAGAGAAATATATTTGGTGTCACAGAATCAGGGGTGTTTGTTACTGTACACACAATGATTACCAATTAAACTCCACCCTTTGTATAAGGTTGGTTGTGCTAAACAAGTTATTTACATTACTGAAAATGACCCTGACTTGTCAAAGATTATGTTTTCTGTTTTAAGTGTCAGATGAATGTCTGATACATGGTGAGAAACATGCTATACCCGAAGGGAAAAAAAAACTTGTAAGATAAATCTTTGCAAAGCTGCCGCAGTGATGATTTTGCATTGCAAATTCTCTGCTTTCGTTTGTTCTGGACTTAAAGGGGTTTATTTGTTTCTTTGTTTTAATTCTACTTCTGAAAAGTTGAAATGGCCCCAACTGGACCTAGGGTCTATACATGTGACAGACTGTGATTCACAGATCAGTGTTTTGTGATGAACTTCCTTGCCCTGTTCTTGAGATTTTGTATTACATATTGTGACTGAGCTATTGGCCTGTAGTTTGTGTTTGAATCAAGAAAACACATAAGCAGTGTTTGTACAACAGTAGAGATATGAGAGGGCGCAGACCATGATTGAAAAACTGTACCAATTTAATTTCATCTGGGCAATTTGGAGATTTCATCTATTTTAAAGAAAAAGGTCAAACACTCATCTCTGAGCATTGGTAAAAACTCCTCTCATTGCTCAAATAATAGATTTATATTAGGGTGATTTCAGGGCAAAACAGAAGAGCAGTATACTCCGAGGTATTTGAATCTTCATTCTCTCTTTCTCAGGAAATGTGAAAGTTGTTTTTGTTTTTTGTTGATGTCCTTGCCAGTGACACATGCACTATTGAAACAGATGAGGCAGTGCAAGACTTTGTAAGATTCTGTACAGTACAAAATCAGAATCTTCTAGATCTGTTTAGTGATGAGAAAATATCCAGATATTTTCAGTGAAATTTTGAAAAACATGGTCAATACTGTCTTTAACACATATTTGGAAGTAATAAAACAAAAATATTG